CGGGCTGTTTGGGGGGGGAGAGGGGGGAAGAGAGGAGTCCATTAAAGACAAATTGAGGCTGGCAATCCTCGCAAACAACCTGGAAGTAATTGACTCTGGGACCACCAGTGCCTCTCCCATATACGCGCGGGCCCCTCACCACGTCTTTCGGAGGCCCAAAATGCAACATGCCCCCCGTTAACACTTATCAATGGCAGCCCGGCCCCCAAAGTTCCCCATGTATACCACCGCGCATTTGTTTTTCCAAGCGGGGAAAGGTACTGGTGGTTTAACCAATCAACATTGCTCCTCCGTGGAGCGCTCTGCTCTTTGTTTCTCATGACCCCTACAGTGTTAACCGGACGGCCTAGCAAATGAAACAACTCCCTACTCCATCAAGACCTGGTCTAAAGCGACCGAGTGGATCAAACGCTCCAACCGCTGCGGGCACTCCGATCCTGACCTTGAACATCTTCAACTGCCCAGGTTCCTTCTCTACCGCCTCTCTAAGCCAAGGACAAAACCATAACTTCCCATCTGTAGATACCTGGAGCTAGGCATTCTTCCTATCCCAAGACTTAGTCCGCGTAAACCATTTACAGCCCAAAGGAGACTTCCACCGACTGCATTTTTTCCAATTTCGATCGGCTTGGATCTGGTTCCTCAGCCGTACCCTCATCAGGTTGGAGGTTCCCAAATACAACATGCCCTTAAACCACCAGTACTTGGCCTAGCTATCGGTCGCGGACGATTCTCGTTAACGTTGTCGAGCGCATCGGTCCCGCAGGGGGACCCTCCCGGCCGCGTCACGCAAGATTTTGCAGGACTTCGTCGTAGAGCGCGGGTTGCCGCTCCGGCCGAGCGCACCAGCCGTACCTCTCGCGAGCCCCTACGACATGACAGGGTCACGCGAGGCACGTCTTACCTCCACCCGCGGAAGCTGTCACCTTCCCTTGAGTGGGCGTATCCCTGTCGAGCTACTGAACCACGTGCGAAAGTTTTTAGTATGCATATGCAGAGGTGGCCCGACCGAGGGCGTTTCTCGTCCGCTGTAGCATAGGAGGTACGCGCGGTCAATGACCCTCAATCGGACCCGCACGCGAATCGGCGCATTGGGGGGCTGAGGTCCCAATCACGATTTGTCGTCGGTCGACTAGGACACAATCCATTTACCACGCGTTACACCACAATAAAATTAAAACAAAAATAAAACTCTCCTAGTCCCTTCAGTGCCCGACTCATAACCTTTTAACACAACAATCGGTTCGACGTCGCACGCGGGACTCAACATAAAACTGTTCGAGCGCTAGGTCTTTCTCACATGGACTGGCAATGCAAGCATACGCACGCAGTCGCAACGATGGAGTACTATGTAGTACCCATAATCATGCGACCCTCGATAATCTCGGGGGTCACGTTCGACATTCAAGTGTCGGCTGCCACGCGCCTTGAGGGGTTAATCTCTCGATGCTAGACAACCGCCAAGGTGGTTGATCACCACACCCTCTTCTGTACCCTGCAGAGAGTGGGTGGTAGACAGGTTCAAACATGTGGTGACAGTCAACTCTCGCGGCCTTGGAAACAAACTCCATCATCCAGGGTCTGAAGAGAAACCAAGAGGTTTGACTTTGACGGCCGCCACAGACTATAATGTCCAACCAAAATAATTGTAAAGAGTAAGCGGTAAAAAGGGGGTTTCCCTTTTCTCTCGAAGCATAGTCTGTTTGACTCTTGCGCGCGATCACAACAGACCGTACGGATATTGAATGTTTACGTATGTGTAAGTGGAAGTGTATATATACACGTATATGAAAGGTTATGAAATGTGAGAATACCACTTTTCACAACCACTGTAAGACTCTCTTTATAATTACGTTAAGCAGAGGTAGTTCAAGCAGAGGTTTGTGTGGTTTCAAACGATCACTCTCACAATAGTAGTGTGGTTTGTTCATTCAAATTCATACAACATTCAGATTATCACCAAACTCAATCCAAAAGGATCTCATACTCATACCTGCAATCACACAAAGATCGAATAACAACAACAAACACACTAAGGGAGTCAACTTTATCGCTTTCAACAACTCATACCCCGCCTTGTGCATACAAGCCCCAACCAATTTTCATTATCCCTCAAATAAAGGTATTCAGTCTTTTAGAAATGACCACTTAAAAAGAAATCTGGGTGAAAACCCTACGAAACATAAAAACCCACAAGAGCCAAGGCCTTAGGTTGAGATGCAGAAACAGAGAAGTTGTGTCGTAAACCGACGAATCGAGAACCGACCTGTTATCAGTGATAACAGAAGATGATGCTCTGTAGGATCAGGCCGAACAAGTCAAGCATTCAATCGAATTCGCAGCCCTGCATCACAGTACAGGGCAAAACGGACCAATACTATGTTTTAAGGATAACATGCTCCATATCGAGGCCAAACTCCACTACTAACTTTCTTCCTCACTTTCTTTCACTAATTTTCAGAAACCCCTGAAAATTTCGGCAACATCTCTCATAGACAAGGCTGATTGCCAAATTCTTCCTAGCATAAATAATCTAACTCTCAAAACTTTACAAAATTTCGACAGCGCATCCCGTAGGAAAAGTGTCCTTTCAAAATTTTTAGGTGTGAAAAAATAACTAACTCCTTCAAATTTGTAAAAATTTCGGCAGCGCTTCCCGTAGGAACAGGAGACTGCCAGGATTTATACAAAGCTGAAAATGTAAAGACAAAACACAACTATACTTGGGACCAACTCCCGACATTTACCTGATAGTTAGAACCGGAGACAGTCTGCACGATCCCTTCTTGAGGATGGCATCGTGAGCTAACACCGATCTTAACTCCTAGTAAGGTCAGTCCTATCTTATCCCAGGTTTCCCTCCCATCATCCATCTCTCATACCTATAGCTTCAGCACTCAGCGAGCATCTAAAGCAACTAACCTATTAAAAGAAAAGTTCTCAAAGATAGCCCCAAAACATACACAGGTGAGTGTGATAACATCTCTCGCCAACCCTCAGGTTCCTTTCCAGGTTGCACAGTTCGTTCAAAAACCCTTGTTGTTCTCTTTTACTCTTCCTTACATAAGACATAGGATTAGCCAACCCAACTTATGGATGTGACTGACCTGCCAATTTATATGACTGGGTCGCATCAACTTATGGTGTCCTATTCTGATAACACAAATATACGTAGGGCATAAGACCAAATCACACCAACTTATGGTGTGACCGGTTTCTGCCTAAACGGTTGACATAAGGCGTATAACCGGGCCGCACCAACTTATGGTGAGGTTGGTCAGCCTGAACGCTCGACATACACTAAAAATTGAACCTCCTCAACTTATGAGGGGCCAGCCTTAGCCTGAACAAACGACAAAAGACATATGACTATAACACACCAACTTATGATGTGCCTAGCCAACCCAAACAGTGACATATGGTGTAGAACCAAGCTACCCAACTTATGAGTAGTCCAACCCAACCTAGACAAAACCACATGCGCGAATGACCGAACAACCCACAACTTATGCGTTCGCCCAACCTTCGCAATACAACCATGTTCAACGAATAAGGCATAAAACTCACCACACCAACTTATGGTGTGATTAGCCTCTGCCTGAACGAGTGACATAAGGCGTATGACCGGGTCGTACCAACTTATGGTGAGGCTGGTCAGCCTAAACTTTCGGCATACACAAATAACTGAGCCACCTCAACTCATGGGGGGTCCATCCTCTGCCTAAACAAACGACGAAAGGCATATGACCAAGACACACCAACTTATGATGTGGCTAGTCAACCCATACAATGACATATAGCGTAAAACTAGGCTAGTCAACTTATGAGTAGTCTAGCTCCACCTAAACAAGCAACAGGCGCGTGTGACTGAACAACCCACAACTTAAACGTTCACTCAGCCTCCGCAACAGAACTACATTCAATAAATAGATTCACAATCATTTTTTGTCTTTAGATGAGTGGCTAAGTCACCTCAACTTATGAGGATCCCCACTCAAACATCGGATATGTTTAGAAAAAGAAATAGCCAAACTTTATATATCTCTCTGCTTTTGTGTTATTAGGGGCATATGACCAACTACCCAGCTTATGGATGAGTCAGTCTGCCCAAAGTTACCACTCAATTTTATGCTCCGAATCTTATTTATTCCTCTGTTTTATCTACTACCGGCTTATATGGCTAGATCTCCCAACTTATGGCGTCCAGCCTGCCAATGACATACGTAGTATATAGTTATATCAAATTGTATACTCAGGTTCCACTTATGTTCGCGGCTCATGACTTGGTCACACCAACTTATGGTGTGACTAGCCTGCCAAAACAAGTAAGCATAAGGCATAGGACTGATCTACACCAACTTATGGTGTGGTCAGTTTCTGCCTAGACAATCGACATAAGACGTATGACCGCGCCGCACCAACTTATGGTGAGGCTGGTCAGCCTGAATATTTGACATACACAAAGAACTGAATCACCTCAACTTATGAGGGGTCCAGCCTTTGCCTAAACAAACGACGAAAGACATATAACGAAAACACACCAAC